ACAGCTTTCTGGAGATGTTAACACAAAACTTGTGCTGTGCAAGAACCGCCAGGAAGGCACAGATGTGATCAGTCACAGAGCCTGTCAGACACACGTTAAATTCCAAGTGAACCTCCAATAATTCACTGTAGCTACTTTTGGGCACATAACAGATGCAGAATGAAGCCTTTTCTCTATTCAGCTCGTTCCATAAAACTTTCTCTTCCTCCGTCAATCTAATGTATCGCATCGACTTCTGTGATTCCTGTTGTTTGTTGCACTAAGTTCACAGGCTACAGCACACCCAACAGGTCACCAGCAGTAAGTAAGTTTGTTCTTAAATGACTGACAGCCACTGTCACAGGGAGGCAAATAGAGATAGAAGAGAGGAGAACAGACAGGTAGTAGCTGATGGACTCCTCAGCACAGATCATCTTTGCACTGCGCTCAGCTTTCAAAATGTGAGGTCTGTACATCCTGCTGGCCTCTTACAAAACGCTCTCGGTACCAGGAGAGCACAGCACCAGGCACAGCAAGCAGGGGATTATTTAAGTCAGCTAATAGGAATCACCAAGGATGGGGCTTCAATTTAAATCCTGCCCTTAATCGTGGAATGAAAGCCTAGCTGTGGGCAACCGGCAGGCACTTTCCTCAGAAAATACTTCAGTGCCTGGATTCCTCTTCTGAAGATTACACACCTGAATTTCTGATTTCAAGAGGGTTGCTTATCTTTTCTACTGGGTAAAAGCAGCTCACCACATGTGGGGCATCTTTATCCCCTCCATCTTCCTCCAACCGTGCCCTCCTGAGAGTTCATCTATCTGATTTTGTAAGGATGCTCCCTCAGATGATGCCCAAGCTGGATCTTTTTAACAGTCTTTAGCAACAAACACTTCCTAGATTTATTATTCATGTCCATCCTGGTTTTACAGTCTCTTTCCTTGTTCCCACCAACCTGCAGCACAAAGCCATGCCTCTCCCCTGTCAGAACTATCAGAACTGCTTCTCTGCAAATTCCTCAGTTGCTCATCACCACACCATGTCTGCAGTGCCTGCAGTGCTGGGCTCCTCAAGCTTCTTAGACACATCTTCCTCCTCATTCCCTCATCATTCCTCTCTCTCCATCAGTTTTTAGGTGTGTTGCCCTCAGTGTAGCACAGCTCCTCAGCTGTCAGGTGTTTACTCTCTTCTCTTCCAAACCCCTTTCTTAGCAGTCCCTGGTTCTCCAGGGCCTCACACACACTTGTTCTGGGTCAAGTTTCATTTAAACTCCACAGGCTGTGGGATCAATCAGTATAGTGACATCTCACAGACTTGTGCTCTCTTGAAGCCACTACTTGCTAGTATAAACTTAAAGACACATAATAGCATTTGGAAAGATAAGAGTCTGGTTGTAAGAATACTTTGTAAATAACTAGGCACTAATAATTCATTAGGTTTCTTACATATGAATTAACAGATAAGATACTTAGAAGATTATGAAGTAGCAATTATTTTAACTTGACATTTAATAACTATGAAACTCTTTGTCAAAATCTCTCTGTGCATGAAAACATGCAGTTAACTTTTAACCATCCACAATAAAGCTCATTAAGTGATTAAGAGAAGCTGACCAGTTAAAACACTGGTTTCAATATGAACAGATGACACCACCTGATATTTCTGTCAGTCTGCCTTTCAGACAAAAGTGAGTTTCCTGTTCACATATTTTGGATGTCAGTAAACATAATAGATCTGACGGGGGAGATGCACAACAGGGGAGAAGGCCAACGCTTTTGCTTACGTGTCTACACCGAAGTTTCACGACTCCATCTGATTTTTTTTCTTCCTTCAAAGATGCAGAGAGCAGACTTTCAGCAACTGGAGCAGTTGCACTGAATGTAAACAGGCGATGCTTGAAAGCCTGTCACTGAGTCTCCTGATCAGAAATGAACAAACAGCAAGCGCTGAAGGACAGGCACGTACACACACTTTGTGTGTACACCTTTGTGTTGTTTTGGATTATTCAGCGACTAACCCAGAGACGATAAAAATTCACAGCTCTGAGAGTCACCGTGCAGAGTACTTAGCAAACTGTGCTTCCAAAAGCACTTATTGGCTTTTCAATAGCATAAGACAAAGCCTACGTGAAACTCCTTCCATGCTGTGTGTATGATCAGGGTGGGCAAGTGTCCTCAGTGCACCCCTAACAGGTAGGCTTCAGCAGCAGCTCCATTAAATTGTCCAATAGCTTCCTATAACAAGGCTTGAAACATTCTGTCTCTGGTGCTTGCAGTGCCTGCAGGCTGACAACCTTTGGGGTCAGAGCCATGGCCTTACGGATCCAAGATAGGGTGACAAAGAGCCAAAGCACATTTCACAGTACTTCCTCCGTGAGGGTGAAACAGCAGGTTACAAACCAACCAGCAATTTCACAGAAAACAACTGACTTTCTCTTTAAGTGGCATACAGGGAAAGCACTTCTTTCTTGACCTGCGATCAAGGGAAGTGGAAGATGAGAGAAGCAAAACAAAATCCGTTTCTTTTCTATCAGGCTATTTCTCCATATGCAGCTCTAAACCTTCAGGCCAAATAAAGGAAAATTTCAGGCTAGCCTAAGGAAGAACATGAAAGCTCCTGCAAAAAAAAAATTTCCCTTCGGAAAGAGGTGGTGCAATCTGAGAACAAACCAGCAGACCAAAATGCCTTTCTTGCTCACTGCAGAGAAAGGCATCATGAGTTTGAACTATGCACCACGTGATAAATCTTTCATTGCCCACTGCCAAATTTTCATGCATATTTTGTGTGGTGCTTGGCAGATGCATATTAAGCAAGACTGAGGCACCAAAACTGTAATTTGTGCTGCAAGCTCATTGCTGCAAGGAGCAACAGAAGGTTTCATGCAGTATTTGGTGAGAATCTGTGGAACATCACTTTCAGAGAGGCCACATACAGAAAAGACTCTGCTTCGGCAATGTTAATCTTTCCTCTTGATCTTTTAGAAATAAAAAAGAAACTTTTTTAAAATGACTGTCTTGTCTCTGAAGATGAGTCATACTGCTTTTTGATAAAGTATCAGGTTGCCAAGGGACCCTCTTCAAGGTTTTGAGTACCTGAAAAAAACCCCATCTTTTTAAAGGTTTTCTACTACTTAGAAAGGAAATGAGGAAACAGATGAAAACAGACAGATGAAAACTTGACTTAGCTGACTCTAAGACTGTGCTACCCAGGGAAATGTGAAGAAAATTATACAGCACAACTTTAATATATGAAATTGGTTTAAGTCAATTTTTGTTGTTTTGCTTCCTCTTGCAGTCCTGCCCCTTCCAAAACCCCCAATCTGGATTTGTACATAATTTGACTTCAATACATACAGTTTATGCCAAAAGATTTTACTCACAAGGAATTTGAGAAAAAGCAATAAGCAACACAGCACAGAAGGCTCCATCTCCAGTGTATACTCATTAGATTACAGCAAAAATTCAAGCCATTTTCTGCATTCACACTGAAAACTGCACTCATTTCCTCAGCTGACTGTCTCTTCTGGGTTCTGTTCTAGTGCTCAAAGTTGCTGCCATGAAAGTGAACATTAATTTAACCCCCAAATGAAATTATTCACAAGCAGTGATTTTCAATTAATCATGGGCAGTAGCTAGGTGTCACTGCAATCAAAGAAAGTAAGAATGTACCTCAGGTCTTCGGTATTCAAACAGAAATGAGTCTATGGCTTATGAACCATTCACACAGGTGGGACCCCATATGTGATAGCCTATTGGAATGAGGGAAATGAGACAGAGAGAACTAGAACCTGATCGTGCACATTGATGCTGCTGGAAATCTTCCTTGTGATGCCCATTCACACTTACCACACCCACACACTTCTGTAAAACCAGGGGAAGATGTGCAAGGAAGAGTGCACCAGCACAATGGCAGGGGACTGAACCAGTGTGATGGTCTTCCCCAGGTCACATCACACATCTTTCGGAGTGCTGCATGAGGTAAGTCAGCAGGCTGCAATTTTTTAGACTACCAGTCCTAATGTACCTCTTTCCTATCTGATATCACAGCTTGGCTGTATATACTCCTCAGGAAAACCTGCCATCTGACTATCTGTTTTGCTTCCACACTTCAGGCACAGCAGAGTTGCAACAACTGAAATGAATTCTTTTTCTGGTGTGAAAACATTAAGGCTACAGGTGATCAACTTAAATTCCTCCCCCAGAAACTCCACGCTGTCTCCAAACTCAGTAAATACTCAAGACCAAGGCCAGCATTTATGCATGTTTTTACAGCTACTAAGTGTCCTCAAGCCACGTTATATAAATAAATCATACTGCGCTACGCTATATGCTAAGGCGTGCAACAGAGCAGGGCAATTTGCTGCAGGTGAGAGATGCTCATTAAAGGCAATTAATAAACACTATGTGTGCACTGAAGGGCACAGGAGCTAATTATCAGAAGACGTATACAAGTAATGCTTACAGTTATGAAACCGAGGCACTCTTCACGTGAAATCTCACGGAGGTGGGGGAATGACATAAATCAGGACAATGATCCAAGCCAAGTGATAGCTACAGACACAGCACTCCTAAAATAATGAACCCCACCAACTGTCCTCACTGTGGTTATTGGACTGCTCTGTTAGCCAGACTTTATGAGGCACCCTAGGATGGGACCAGCAATTTCCTTTAAACAGTCAGCCTGCTGGCACCACAGGAGAGCCCCGTGTGCTGGAGGTCACAGGTGCAGGGCTGGCACCAGGCTGCCAGCGCAAAGCTGCCGGGTATCGCGGAGGCAGGTGGGTTACACGGGTCAGACCCCCTCATGGTTTGCATCCTGATCAGTTTTCTTTCAATCATAGAGTCATTAAGGTTGGAAAAGACCGCTAAGGTCATCGAAGTCCTCCAGGTCTTCCAGAATTCCTCAAGGAAACAGTAAAGAAGGCGGAATTTTTACAGGCAAACTCTAGTCATCCCTTCAGTTTACTGGAAGAATATTTGTTAAATGCTAGCAGAATAAAAGACATTTTCCCACATGAAGTGTAAATGGCAAACAAAAATATTTATTGGTCTCATATAATGACAGAGTAATGGTACTTAAAAGTATTGTATTTGAAGGGAAATAAACTCGGCTTGTTTATCATCAATGACTGCAATTATGTTGTCAAGTGATAGATGAGTGTTTTGATTTCTTCTTCCTGCTGCCTTTTTACTTTCAACTTATATTGTAAGCTTGACACTGTTTATTCATGTACTACTACAGAACCACTGAGAGGGGTTATTATTGAAGAGAATTTATTTTTCAGAGCAGTCATGCCATGAAGCCACAGATACAGCTAAAGCTTAACCCTACATCCTCCTCCAAAGGAGCACGTTAGTGCTGTTAAAAACACCCCACTAACCCAAACAAACAGAACAGCCTAAAGAGGGGGTACCAAGCTCCTGGACATGCAAACCCCGGCTCAGTGCCTCACCCACAGCACAAGAAGGACACAGAACTCAGTGCTGGAGCAAGTGCAGAGAAAGGCCACTAAAATGGTTAGGGGCTGGAGCACCTCTCCTACGGAGACAGGCTGAGAGAGCTGGGGTTGTTCAGCCTGAAGAAGAGAAGTCTCTGGGGAGACCTCATAGCAGTTTTCACAAGTTATGGCAGTGGTAGTAGAGCTTGCCAACAATTACTTCCTCAAGCAGCAGAACAGACTGCAACATGGGTAGGACATTGTCCTACAGGATTCAGACTCCTGGTTACGTGTTCAGCTCCTTCTTTGTTAATAATCTACAGGTAATATGGAATAAGAACTTATTTTTGTTGCTGTTGCTTGCCTGAGCAAATGTTGCGTGACAGCTCTAAACTGTCATTACTCAAGACATAGCAACAAAACTCACAGGTATCTACTTGCAACAGAGCCCTTAGTTTGCCTTTTCAGTAAAATCAACACATCCTTTTACATGAGAAACTGCTGGCTTATCTGAGACACGAGGACCTGATATTTGCCTAATTTTGTCTGCTCTTATTTGACTCTTAAAAGCACACCTGCTCGATTAGCCACAACCTTCAGCCGCAGTGAAGCAGAATACTCAGCTCCAGCACCTTTGATAATGTTTAAAAAATCAAGCACCCTTATCCAAAAGCAAATTTGTACGTGGGCTTAAAGCATTTGGTGCCATTACAATTTTGCTCCTTGAAATAAATTCAGCCTGCCTTTCTCCTGCTCCAAGTCCCTTTATTAGTCAGAAAAGCAGTAAACAGAGATGGGGAGCATAAGGAAAATTAAATACAAAACACCATAAGCCTTTCAGTGCCTGATGGAAGAACGGGTCTAATGGATGTTTTTGTTCCAATCTATATTGCACTACTCTGAGCTCACATCAAGAGATCTTATCCATCTCACCGCATTTGCTCTACTGAAAATACTTACCTTTGGGACATCAGTCTTTACTTGAGCTATGACAGCTCATCTTTGGTGTTCAAGCACTCTTGATAAACAAAGATGGAAAAGGTTTCCCTTGCACACCTCAACAAAAAAAGAGACCTGAATAAGCAGCATCTGGAAAGATCATATGGCTCACACTCACCATGCATTTCAAAAGCAAAACTGCAACGACTACTCTGATAGTATACAGGTTTCAACAGAAATTTTAAAACTGAACAAAGGGAAGGCAACATGAAGTTAAGAATTCCCTGCATGACTGCAGTCATGCCCTGGGTAAAGGGGGGATTCATCACAATTTAGATTCATCACAATGAATCTAAAGAGTAACAGGATCAGATCATTGGAGTGTCACTGTTTATGCCAAAATGGGAGAAGTTATTCTATTACAAAAGAAAATGGAATTAAAGTAGGTTGTCAATTTTCCCCTCACACTGAAATAATACTGGATACAGAGCTCACCTTAATTTACTTTTATTAACCTGTGGCTCCCTTTGAGCTCACATTTGATTCTCTGGACTTAGCAAGGCATACGCTGAAAGCAAACCCAAAATACAACTAGTCACAGGAAAGGATCCCACATCCAGGATACTCTGGTTGAGAAACCAAATACGAAAAGATATGTCTCTGTATGGTCACCTCTGTCATAGTCCAGTGTCAATTACCAAGTAAAGCAAAAAACCAACAACAAAGCTCCTCAAGAAAAGGTTATGTGTGTTAGAATTATCCCCTAAACCAGAGCAGCAGAAGAGTGGGCTACATATTGGGACACTCCCTGATTTACGTGTGTTCCACAGCAAGCAAACCTGAAAAGCTGTAACTTTTAAAATCTGTTTTGCAACCAAGAAATTGAAAACCAATCTCCTCCTCAGGAAATGGTAACTATCTAGAAGAGGTAAGAGGTGTCACTCACTAACAATATCACAGCCGAAACACAACACTTGGTGTTTGCTACCTGCTTTTTGCATCATGTCTGCTGTTTCTTCAGCATTGTGGTGCACTTATTTGAATTACATTTTATATTCAACTGAATTGAGCAAAAAGGATACCCCACAATGCAGATATACACCAGTTCATATTTCCATACCACAGTCTCTGATGATCACTCCCAGTCTACTACAAGCCAGCAGCTATACAGAGCCTTTATAAGATGGCACGCGGTTTCTTCAAGCAATCACAAAAAAATAAATCAAAATATCTTCAGTGATTGGAAGTCACCACAAGGACTTTTAAATTGGATAGTATTAGTAAGGGCTTTAGGAGTTTGATGTCTTGTGATGAAGCTGCAAAGAGAAGTAGACAGCACTGCCACAGTATTAATGGTAACTTGTCTGCAAGTTCTTGAACTACTGTAGGACTTGCAAGTGCTCGGATGGTACTGACAGGCAGGTACTTACTTCTGTTGGTGAGAGGATTTACAGTGTTCAAAAGATCAAACTTATAAATAGTAAATCATGCAAGATGAAAAATAAAAGGAGCGCAATGATTCCAGCTACTACTGAAAGGTCGGGCAGAAGAAAAATGAGCACTATCATAAAGACAAATCCCTCACATTTTACCTGCTTTCTTAATAATAGCTTTCCTGTAACAGCTTAGGAATCCAATACAGAGAAAATGGTAGGTGTGGAGATATTTCTCCAGAGAGCATTCAAGGGACCCTCTGCTAAGATCAGAACAAGCTGTTAGCAAAGGCAACAAACAGGTGGCCACTGCAGCCTTAGTGCTGCTTTGTTACTGAACGTTTCCAAACCAAACACCCCCTCACCCTACACTTGGCCAGCATCATCCTCCTCCTAGAAAATTTGTTGGGTATCTGCTACAATTAACACAATGTTAAAGCAAAAGAAGAAAAAGAGCTCTGGGGAAAAGAAGGAAGCAAACCAAGCTTGTGCTGCTGCAGAGCAATGAATTTTCTTGTTTTATTTTGGATTATTCTTCACAGATCTCCCCCCCCCCCAATGCCAAGGCAGATTTGGAACCTTTTTTAATTGATCAGAGTTGCCCAGAATACTTTACATAAGAAAGAAACCGAGTTTGTTAGCATTTAGAAAATGAACTGGAACCATCTAAAACAACAGTTTTTCAGAAATGTGTAAGTTTTCACAGCCTGAGGCAAAGGACAAAAGCTCACTGAAGACACACTGTTTGGTGTGCTTTACAACCTGTCCCTCAGATTCACCGGTTGCTTTAAGTACAGGTTTGAAGTTGAGAGTGGGAAATCCGATTAACTGACCAAAATGTCAATATCTGAAGTGTTTAACTCAGTTGGCCAGACTGCAATTCATAGGTTTTCTTTCAGACAGAATTGCAAAGTTCATGAAAATAACAAAATTGTGTTTTCAAAGACGTGAAGAACATTATGTATATGTAATAGATGGATCCGTGAACTGGAAAATTTCCTCATCAAAAAGGTCTTCTGGTAGTTTTTCATCTCCATCAGCAAAAAACGTAGGGAACGGAGGGTTTTTATTGTATTCCTTGCAAGTAGGCAATTTGCTGTCTCTGACCTAAAAAGCAGGAAGGGGAAGGGTAGGGTTAATAAATCTTACAGAAGACTTTCAGACAGTGATACACCAGAAATTAAAGAACTCAGCCTGCATGCATAAGAAAAAACCCAGGAGCATTCACACTGCACTTGTTTAAAGAATTCCACGTATCATCATCATTGACTTTAACACCAACCCCAGCTATTGAATTTAACATTTTGTACCCATCCTTGAGGAGTTTTTTAAAAACCAACTAAACTAAGTAAAAACAAAACAAAGAGACTTTGTTGTTACAGTGAGAGAATCAAGACCTACTCTCATGAATTCATTGCTCAATATTTTAAAATGCTATTAAAATAAAAATATGGCTTGTTTAAACTGTGCTTATATCCCACAGTACTTTCCTACGTGACACACCAAGTTATATTATGCAGTGTAATCACCTCTTCAACAACCAAGACACGCATCTGTATGTATGATGCAAACTAATTATGGCAGCTAATTTTGCAAAGATATGTGCATGTGCTGTACTCAATTCCTCTGGCTACTGCAGAGCTATTCAGTGCCTGCTGAATTAAGCATCTAAAATTCTTCACCCAGGAATCAGTATCCGAGTTTGTCGAACACGAGCCTTTAAGACAGTTCATTTCCAAGAACTGTGGTGCCACAGAGAAATTACTTTCCTTTACTGACCTCTCTACATGTGGAAAGATTTAAATCTAGCTCCTGGAACTCCAATCTCTGAAGAAAATTAGTAGCTAGAATTATCAGCAAAAAGCAGTTTGTCTGCAGATAGTAGCAGATAGAAAGCTGGTATCTCTGAAGAAAAAAAAAGAGCTACAAATACTTGAGCAATGAAATTTTACTTAAAGTTAAATTCTTCATTACAAATGATCTTCCTTGTAGGCTGTAATAATCCCTTTCAGCCACTATACTCAAGTGGATTAAAAAAAAAAAGTACAAATAGATTACACAAAAATTTTCCTATAGAGAAGATAAGCTCTTCCTCTTAGTTTTTTAGTGGGCTTTTAAAAAACAGGAAGCTTGTTTTTACTTGGACAAAAACATAGGACAATTATGATTTATGCAGAAAATTAAATAAAACAATTTTATGCCCACTGGAAGCTCTGTTTTGACAACACTCTATTTACCAGATTCATATCTGTTATTACTTGAGCCTTTCTCACAGTCCATAAGGATTCCTGCAGATGAAGTGTACAATAAATTCGATGTTCCAGCAGTTTTCTAAGTGCAGGCTTTATAAACAAAAGAAAACTTTTTGCTAAGAATGAGAAGATGAAGGGCTCAACACGTTGTACTGGTTAGCATGGCTAAGCAGCTTTTCGAATAGATCATTCCCCTTCTACCAGACACCTCCCTAGAAAAGTATTCTCTATTTGCTTGTGAACTGCCACACAGAACTACTTAAGTACTTCCAGTTCCCAATTTACATTACACAGCTAGATGGAATAAATTTTGAGGTCCAAGTCTCAAGACCTTTACTACAACAGTTCCAGCAGCAGTGAGTTCAGAAGAAACGCAGACAGCTTCAACAGTGCCACCTGAAGGATGGCACCTTCAGAGATATCATCCTTCCCTTTCAGTAAGTTGTGGCTGTTTCTTTTACTATATGAAAACACATTTTAGTAACTTCACCAATTATATCTTTTATTTCCCTTGCCCCTTTCTCTTTTACTCTCTAATCCTATGGCACAACAGAAGCCTTCTCTGTCAACAGCAAACTGCCCTATGCTCTCCATGTTAGTAAGTATTAAGAGGATTAGAATAAATGACTTTATTTATGTTAAATTATTAATTTCATATACATATTGTATTATAATGTTTTTCATGTCTACTTTCTGTAACTTTTGATGATTTTCATCATGAAATAATATGTGTTGTTACATACAGGCTGTGTCATTACAAGCAGTTTTGGACCTGGAAAATGAAAGGAATTGAAATGTTTGTTTTCCTCCTTTTTTTCCCCTCCCTTTGTTCCTAAAACAACTTCTTACGACAGGATTTCGAAGCGAGACATCTGCTCTCAACTGAAGGCAAATCCAACAGTCTAATTTTAGTCCTGCATTAGTTTACCTTAATAAATGTAAGATTTCTGTTCAGACTTAACATTACATTAATGGCATATTAACGTCAAGGGACATTTTGGAGATAGTGCCTCTTGTGTGATAAGGAGAATTCTTAAAATAGTTTTAATATTCTCATGAAGCATTTTCAACAAACTGTTGTTGTTTTCAAAGGAGTACAATACTGTTGCATTTTACCCCTTCCAAACTCCTCAGAAGCTTGACAGATCCCAGAAGCACAGGTCACATCTGATGTTAAAACGGTTTTCTTCTGATATGCTCTTTCTTCTGACTAATATAATTGACACGGTATTTCTTTTGACTGGTGAAAACTACTGCTCTTTTTCCATCTTCTTCTACATCCACTGCTTTCAAATGAAATTAGAAGCAAAAAAGCACCATCTTGCAGCATCACTACCAAACTGAACGAACAGCCCTCTTTCTCCCTTGTAAATTTCAAGAATTAGATATTATTATTATCAGATATTACCATTATTATTCCTACTAAAAGGAATAACTCGATTTCATTTTACATCTGAAAGTACCGATTAGCAACTTCAAACACGGTATGAATTATCTGTCCTCTCAAGAGAATTACTGAATGATTGATTCCCTTTACATTTATGAAGGGTGCAGCCTAACAAAGGTTTCCTGTATCTAACACCTCAGATTTCTGCACAGTAACTTCACAACAGTATAAAAGGGGTCCAGTGGCATGCAGCAGCAACAGCTGTGCTTGTTTGTCTAAGCATGTACACAGTTAAGAAGTACAGGTGACCCAGCACAGCTCTTTTTGTTCTCCTAGTAATCTCCACAGAACAGTCCTAATAAAGGAGTAAGTTTTCATGCTCTGTGTTACTAAAATCCAGTGAATTTAGCTCTCAGCCACAGAAGGAATCAGGCTGATAGTCCAACTGGTTATTACAACCCATAAAACCGTAATTCAATATACCATAAATGCTTGTCTTACACCACTGCTGTATTAATAGTACTGTATATTATAATACACTATACTACAGACAGATGATACATAGATAGTGTAGATACATTACAGTGTATTCTCTGTCAAGTCTTTTTATTAATAAAAATACCAGAGAAAGCTGAAATTGGAGCTGGTTGGGATTTTGTAACTAAATCTTTAGCACAGTCATACAGGGTTTTGCAGATAATTAACAGACTGCACATATGCACGTCCCCTACACTGATGGCATAATGGGTAGTATAAGCACACACAAATTTAGAAATCTATGACCACAAAAGACTCCGTATGGTCTTAAACAAGCGCCAAAAGTTTAATGCTGAAGTCATAACTCACAGCTGTAGTTTAACAGGGCTTCAGGCTGTGTAAGCAACCACAGCAAAGAATACAAGTTGTTTGCTCAACAGAAAGATGTGCTTAAATATAAAAAAAGATCAGAAATATTCTCCTCAGGTGTCATACTCATAGCTCAGATTCTGTATTATTTTTGAACCTAGACAGAAAATTTAATGCAAAACTACATCCATTTCTGATCAGCCTTATTTTGTCTTAAAAAAACCCCAACAAAACAAAACCCCCTCAAACCTCCACACAACTCTATCATGGAACACAAGGTACAGGACAGGGAACATGAAAGAACTGAAGGCATCACACTATTCCTGCATGTCCTCAACTTGAGCAGAGTATACACAACTCAGGCGTGACCAGCTAGAAACACAACACAGTAATTAATACTGGAAAGCGTGATATCAAATAAGTAGGATGCAAATCCACTACAGACTTTTCTTAAAATAAAAAAGCTGAACAAAAAAGCAGTCTCAAGACTTAAGTTATTAGCTCAAGCAGAACATTATAAAGCAACTGTATACTTCAATTTAACTCAGGTCTAGCATACAAAAAGGCCAGTTCAGTATCTAACCTGCTAAGCGACTCTTATGGGTTACAAGATTTGCCAGAATTTCGGCTTTCACTACAAGTGATATACTCAAAGTGGTCAACACTGCATGTCCTAAGAAAACACGGTGCCTTAAAACTAGGACAGTAATAAAACATTATCAAAGATAAACTGTAGCATCCTGAATTATAATATACCACACTACAGCATACCCTCCGTTATAAAGCAAAAAAACTACTTAAAAAGGGAAATAAATCTAGTGCTTCTCTCTTGAATGACAGAAGAGAGAATTTTTGATACTATACTTGGGAGATAAATCCAGAGCCATAAACTTTGGAAAGAAAAAACTACTACAGATGGGAACTACAGGCCCTGTGATCTAAGAAGATACACCAGAAAGAAACAGGTGCTACCTGAGCTCGGCTATCTTGATAGGCACAACACACTAACTTACAAATGCTTTCTCTGCAATGTTACTCCTGTAACAGAAAAGTTCCATCTATTCTAGCACACTGCTAACGTTTCTTAATTTTATTAGACCTTGAAATTGCGAAAGAAATCCATGCTAAAGTAAGCTTTTTTCATTAGTTCTCCAGTTGGCTAGAAACATTCCTTATGTCAGTTATTTACCTGCACGCTTCAGTGTGCAGTATCAAATGAAAACTGACTTCTCCTTAAACCAGAAATCCATCAATCCTAGTATCCTGCTGAAAATGAAACTTGAAAAATTTAAGTGCTTCACCTCTGTCTGAATACAGTGCTGATGCACTAAGTTTCCAAAAATACAACATACAAAATAAATATATGTTTTGAAGGTGCACTGTGGCTTTAATGGTTACCAAGCAACACAGGACACAAATGCTTTCCTCTTAGAGGCACATAAAGAGAAAAGTGTCATGCAATATTTCACTTCTTGTGAAAGACAGATGGATTCAATTTCCCTAGACATTAGCCCTACTTAATTACAGGCAGGTATTTAGTGGAATGAATGGTAATTACGAATGCTAATATCCCATAATTCCTCTCCCCAACTACAGATCCAAACAAATATACAGCAATATATTGAAGTCAGTGTCTATAAGACAAGTAAGAAAACATTCTGGAAGAAAGGCATAAGACAAGCTAAAAACACCACAGATAAGTGCAGCAAGATTAAATGGAGAAAGAAAAACCAGAAATTAAAGAACAGATACCAAATTGTATTGCTTTGCCTGATTTTATAATTAAAGCTTTTTCTACTCTTCAGCAATGTGTTTGAAAATATAAGGGAAAACATTAATTAATACATGTAACTTATATGGCTTATGCAAGAAAAAACCCCACTCAGTGGATTCACCAGCTCAAGGAACTGGAATAAACTGTTTGTGAATACATACTGCCTCAAATCTCCAAATATGTGAGTGGAGACAATTTTTAGAAATCTATTTCTTAATAGCAGCAATACCTACTGTTGTGGCTTTATCTCAAACAGTGTTATTTATTATTAAATGTCATAAAAGTTTGAGTCTGGAGCATTTTGGTAAAGATTTTTCAAATATTTTATTACGCTAATCAAGGAGCTCTAAGGGAAGAAAAGCCTCATTCTTCCCATGGATCCTTAACCCTCATTAAAGGAATTAGCTGCAACTCTGAAATGCATTTGCCAAAATGTATACTTGAAATACCTGGACTTCTAAATTGTAGATAACTATGACTTGAAACATTTCAAATACAGGTAACCTACAGATAAAATGAATACAGATTCTGATCTTGTAGACATCCTGTATAACAATTAGTAAAGCAGTCAGAAAAGTGCCTTGTGCCACTTAGTTAATACTGATGAACTAAGTTTACTTGAAAAAAGACCACAAATGAGCCATTTTAACTTCTGGTCTTAGGATAAAGTTTCAACCATCATCCGTGGTGAGTGAACAGAAATGACTCCTGGACATGGCAGGCACTTAAATGATATGCAGCAGACTGCCACAGCAGTCCAAGCCCATTATCCTCTTGACATTGCAGATGCCAACACAGTAGTTTTACTACTTCTACTCGGTGGCTTGGCCCAGAAATCTCCTGTTAACAAGGCTGTTGACTATGGCAGTGCTGCTGCCTCAAGGATTTTTTTTAAGCTAACAGCAGGGCTGCTTTCAGAACAAAACCAGTAAATCCAAGGTGTTAACGGGGATGCTTCCCAGCCTAGGCAAGAGTAACAACTGAATAAAGAAAAAGAGAAGGTAGAAGAAAAAGGTGAAAGAAAGCATTAAAGAAAGCTCCAAGAAGTGAGTGCAATATCTGATCAGCAAGGGGACATTGATTTGGTTAAATGAGATCTTCATGGAGTACATAAGAATGTGCAGTATTAACACACACAGCTTTGCTTTTAAAAACCGTTTATATTACAGGTGTTTAATAAATGTTTGCTTTCTTAACTCACTTAAAATCAGAAATAAAAAAAATAAATTTACCGAGTCTAGTTAGAATAAAAGTTATGATCTAGAAGAACTAGATAGTGTGTTCAGAGTCTTGGTGGCTTCACAAAGTGTTGTATTCTTACAGATAAAGCATCTGAAATATGTACATGCATTTGCCACCAAGCAGGGCCACTGTAAATGTGGATTTTAACAGCATGTCGAGGATAACAAGATGCACAACCTTTTGCAACAATTAACTCTTACTTAAGACTACTATTAAGAATTAAGAATACAGTTTGGGCATCAAATGTTTCTCAGTTTTTCAGCCATATCATGTTGTTTCTATACTTTTATTTAAAACTAACATCCTGCAACAGATTCCCACTTATTTAAACCTCAGACTAACAGCAACCAGGTCCATGTCTTAATATTTTTACAAATGGGACACAGCTGGAGAAGAGTCATTCGGTCCAATATAGGGATGAAAAGTCAGCCAAGTTATAGTCTTAATTCTATATAATTGATGTCATGTCCACTAATTTTGCAGTTGTCCTGAAAATTACTTCTCATGGCCATCTGTTAAACCAATTTTGACTACCTTGGGCTGGACGTTACAACCGGAGCAGTTTGGAAATACTGCAGTCAATAAAAAATGCCTTATTTTCAGTGAGAGAAACACAACAGTAAACTTCATTTTTCTGTGGGAAAAACACCTATTTGAAAGCTAGGGTTGCTGTAATTAAAGCCAATTAACTGCAGAGTTCTGATTCACAACTAGGAAATACAGAACAGAAACTAGATGTCCACAGTAAAATATGACAAGAAGATAATAAACTAATTGAAAACATCTAAACTCAATGAACTCTGTAGCTTTTCAAAAACAGAATAATTTAAATCCCAATAATACCTCCGAGGATTTAAAACTGTGTATCACACATACAGGTATGTGTATATTAGAATCTTTAAAATCATTCATGTTTGATAGCCTGTACTCTATTCAGTCAAAAAGGAAGCAACTTTCTCCAAGTAATTTGTGCTTGCAGATGTGTAGAATATACCTAATTGGAAAGAAAAATCTACTTCAAAAACAACTCTCAGAAGTGCTTTTCTTGCTTGGATGTGGATTATTTACATTGTAAGAACACTTATTAGACTCTTCATTGTTTCAGTTTTTCACAATCTTGAAACAACCTCCATAAACTTTGAAATTAATTCTGTAGACTGACACAGAAAATAACACTGACACACTTATACTGATTGCAAAGGGAACTCGGATCTTTACTGTAAATTCCTGCTGCCTCCTCCTGTACCTCAACTGCTCCTTGGAAAGGTTAACTGCTATTGCATATGGGAATGCTTGGAATAACCTCTAAAGCAGTGCCTGCTCTGTATTTCTGTTTCATGAATACAGCCCTTAAATAATACTCTGGAGATTTCACCAGCATGCTACTGGCTCGAGTTAGCATTCAAAGGGGATGGATGTAGCCTGGAGATACTCACACAAGGGTTTCAGCAATGGTGCTGGTTTATCATAAGCTACGTGGGTGCACAATCCCAGTGCAAAGCTAAGAATGAGTCATTTAGAGTGAGTGTGACCCACTGCCCCTACTAATCACTCTCTTTCACAGAGCTGATTCTACCACCCTTTAATTCAACAGTACAAGATGGCACTCTGAGGAAATGAAGATTGCATTCAACCAGTGTTTTTCCTTTTGTAAGAAGAGATCTGTAGAGAGTTCAGGAATCACTAATGTCAGTAAGTTGAAACTAGCAAACATACCTTCACCAGACAATTGGTGTGACCTGGAACAGAGCCATTTACATAAATAATGTCATGAACTGTGTTGATCCTCCACACCTAGGAGACAGAAAAAAAAAATCAGATATTGAGCTCTGCTTAGAGATTATTCCCACTTTTACAAACAGTAGTCCAGCAAAGCACAGACTGAGTAACTGGAGGTGGTGCTGTAGGGAAGAACAATCTGCACAGGCCTAAACTGCCACAAAATTCACTCACATGTCACTCTGAGTGCCAAACTTTCTCATGCAGGAGTCTGTAACAGTTATAAAGGGCTGGTGATCAGGCTATACTTGGTAAGGCAGCTCTTTGTTCAGCAAAAACCAACCAGAGCTCCTAAGCCTCTTTCTCCTCTAACAGTAACAGCTGTTGAACCCCACAGATGACAAAATAAAACAAATATCCTCATGAAAATGTTACTGTGACCATTTGTCAATTTCTTAATTAAATGAGATGCTCAACTGTACACAACATTTTCTGCTGCAAAAAATTAGTTTCAGTTAACAGAGAACAGCAGCAGCACACTTTTTAGCAAACTAGAGGTCAATTTGGATTTTGTGCAAACTGCAGAGGTTGCCTTCAGAGACAGGGAAAAGTAGCTTTAATAGCCCAGGAGCTGCTGCAGTTATGTACAAATCAGAATCTGGACAGAAACTATAATCCCCTTTTTGCAAATGAAAGTGAAGGGTTGTGATCAAGTTAGGACTTCAAACAGCACCAACACAAGGCTGCATGGCTGAATCCATTGCTTGGCAATGCAAGCACCCTATACACATTCTAGTTTACTCAGAACTCACCTTTAATCCAAAAGATGTCCTATAGATGTTACCCATTTTTCCTGGCATTTTCTTTCCACGATAAACTTTGGAAGCTTTCTAGATAAAAACAAGGCCAAAAAAAAATAAAAATCATGTTAACTGCAAGAGGAGCACTGGAGAAAATATGCTGATATTTCCAATGTTAAAAATATAATATTGAAAAAAAATCTAACACAGATCAGCATTTTAAATACCTCCTGTTGGAGGTTAGGTATTACTCTACATGTTATCTGAAATACTTGACCTCAGTCATAAAATTCCTACATCTACTGTTATGTGAACAAAGAGATTCTAGCTTTGCTCAATACTTAATGTATATAGATTCAGAGTAAAATCTGTACTCATTCATACTTGCACTTTGTGAAAAATCAAGAAAAGGTTTTTTTCCTAAGATTCCTGTCAACACAAGTCTCTCACCTACATCACAGACCGCAGCAACTGGAAACTTGCCTGAACTACTTGTGGATGCTAACGCAGAGCTCCAGAGCAGTCCTGCCCTGGAAGGCTGCCAAAATGAAGATACGCTGTAGCTTCCCTCCTCCCCCTAATCCAAGATTTTCACACTGATGTAAATCAGATCTGTTTTAATACATGTATTTTTGAGGACAAAATTTTAATTTAATTCTATTCACTGCTGTTGCTTAGTTTCTGTATTCCATTTGTGACTGGCTGGGTATAAACTGGACTACAGAGGTGGAAAAAAAAAAGGCAGGAATAAGTGCAAAAATTTTCAATTCTCCATTGTTATCAAGGGATTTGTATCCTGCACCTCTCTGTTATCCATTAATAATGTTTGGGGTTTTTTTTAATTCTTGTGAAAATCATGATTTCAGGAAATCAGCTACAATGCAGTTGTAGGGAAAGGATTCTGTACTGAAAAATCCTAGATTACAAAAATGTTTGAGATGGTCAACACTAGATGGGAAAATACTAACAAAGCATTGGTTTTCCCCTATTGCATATTTTCATCTTGTTTCTTTTCCATCATGACCATTTCCATTACTATTTTCCATTCTATATACTTTGTGAAATTACATCCAGCATTACTGCTTATGAAATCCTAATTTAAAGGAAAGAGAGGTTATTTTGTAATGATGAAAACCATCCATTAACATCCATTAAAACAGTGTTCTGTAGTCAAATATTTACATTCTTCAGTGAAAACAAGTGCCAGGTGTAGAATTCTTTTTCCAGTTGAAACTGAAGGCTATAAATCAGTAATGCATGCTTTTACACTCTCAATTACTTTAACTTCATTCCCTGTTGCCCTTTTGCTTTTACTGTTCTCTGAGCATTATTAATACTTTTCTAAATTTTATTTTACTTTCTCTAAGAAAATTACAGACAGTTCAGGTTCAGTACTGTGACTCAGTTGATCTTAATTAGTTTGCAAAAATTCCTCTTAGTTTGGTCTAAATATTGTACAGCCCTAATAGAACAAAGTTTAAAATTAATCTGCTCAAAGAGATTTTATACTAATATTATTAATAGTTTGAATCACAAAAATATGACTCTGTACTCTGCTTAAAAATGCTTAGAAGCTTAAAAAATTTTGGGAATTATTCCCTGTAAGATGATGGGATTCAGTTCATTAAGCAGCTACACAAACCATGCAAGGTGATAAAAGCAAGTGGGGTTCCAAAGAATGGTACAATATCTGCAGAGTAAAATAACGGGCAAATCCTTTCCAATCTATAAATGGTCTGATAAAAGCTTCTTAGATCTCGCTTTGAAGTATTATGACTATTCCGCTCAGCTGTGCTACAAAATATGACAATTTGCTCAGTTGAAATATGTGTGCTCGCCAGAAATATAGAATATTCATAAACTGAGGCATAAGAGCACAGCTATCTGCATTGCACATTATACAGGTTTCTGAACTTCCTTTGAAACAGCTGGGATTCTCTGCTACCACAGAGTAAATGTAGTAGCTAGCTATTGTGAAATTGTTCATTTTTAGTATGCAGCTCTAAAAACAGGAAATTTTTAAACAGGAAATAAGAATCCTCACACTAGTAGATATCGCTCCAGGTCTTCTGTGAGTTTTTGTCTGGCCGTGGCTCGCAGGTTGACCTTTAAATCCCCACCTTTTCATGACACCTTGAAATCCTTTACCAATTCTGAAAACAAAAATAATTAAGAAAGAAACTTGGGTTAGCCAGACTTAAGGTTGTTATTCTAGCAATAACCAATAATTTCAGTCAGGCTCATGATCTTTTTACCTTTAGCAAAGCTCAGCAGAGAGGGGAATACAGTTAAAACAAAAACCTGTATTTTATACCACAAACATATTCTAGCACAATGCTTAAAGAATAAGAAGCACTAGGAGAGAGTCAAATAGGCAAAAGGACTAACATAAAATGCTTCTTACTGTGATCATCCTCAAGAAATGTTACCGTAATGAAACTTTCATCAAGTGGACATCAGAACAAACACCCTCCCAAAAAAAACAACCAAAAAACCAAAACCAAAACAAAATAAAAAGCAACTGTATAGTAGCATACACCAGCACTTAATGACAGGCCCTAAGCATCAAGAGAGGAAAGAGATGACTGCTTAGATTATGATAAAAATAAATGAAGAAACATTTTCATCTCTTGAAAACAGTTTTGTGTATAGTGAAAACACGTGACTCCCTTGATCTATACTCACCTAACAAATAAGGTCTACAAAACAGTAACAAATAAAACATATTTTCAGAGTCCACGCCCTTAATCTTTGAGGCACATTATAGTATTACTGGCTTTGGAGTTCTCTATTTATTGCACGAACAGACTCAACAGGAAAACCCACCTTATCACTGCACAAAGGAAAAGCCGATTAAAGTGTGTTTAAACCGGCATTGTCTGTCTCCAAAAGGAAAAACCTGACCACAGGGTTTATGGTTGCACTGATTATTTAATTAATTTAACAAGATGATACTTTTCCTCCAATTTACAGAAATCCTTTCTCTGCTAATGCACTTTGCAATGTCATGGTCCTATTAGTTCAAGCATTAGAATCTTCCAGCCAAACACAGAAAAATAAACCCAGGCATGAGCATGCATAGAACACATTCTACAGAGGGACTGCGCTTTGCTGACTCCCCTGCTCAGCACTACCATGGAAAACTAGGGAAAATATACAAACATGGAAAACAACAACATCCTTAAGAACTAAATTCTTTCCTCTTACCACTTGAGTAATTCTCCTCTAATTGCTGCCCTAGATGCCTTGAGCTCGTCAAACTACAGTCAGAATCAGCCACAAAGACTCTCTAAAGCCACACAATCATAAGGAAACAAGAGCTACTTAGAACTTAAGGATCAATCCCCGTTAAATTTGGTAAAGAAAGACATGTAATTGTTTGAATCGAGAGTTATTGGTTAGAAGCTCCTCAATTTTTTTTTTTCTCCTTACTTACAACTAAGGAAATGCTAAAATGCAATTTAAGTAGTGCTGTGTTCCTTTGGCTTGCCAGCTGGCCACTCATGCAAGTGGTTGTCACCAGCAAGACAGTCCTTCCATGTCAGCAGACAGTGGTAGAACCTGAGGATATGAAGAGGATCAGGGCCATGAGAGGAAGCTAAAGGAAGGCACCTCCACAAGGGAAGACCTGGGTTACTGGGAATCAGGAACACAAGACAGAAATTTAAAGGATGCAAGGCTTTGTAACACCAGTTTCCCATAGAATCAGCTCATTTTAAAAGCTTGCATTAGTAAACAGCAATAGCTGTAAAAAAAAGGTTTGAAAAATACATTTTAAGAGAGGCCTAAAATTTGTCTTTTTCTATGTCTGCATATTGCTAGGGGATCAAGAACTTTGAAATACATCCAGAAACTATGCTACTGGAAAACTCATACCTATTCTGCCAAAATGCTATTTTTTTCTTTTAACCTATCTATTACTGGTCATGTTTTCCCAGTAGACTACTTCTGGCATCTCTAGCTGGAAGATGAACTTACCAAAGCCTCCAAAGCCAACTGTAAGCAGGTTGCATAACAACAGCTGTGCAGTTACCAGAGCAAGCAGATCGAGGGCATGATTAATTCTTTAGCTGCAAAAATGGCCTTGCAATTGAGAGAAAACCACACAACCTTAGAAAGCCACCACTTCAAAAGTAAACAGTACTGTCAGCTTGAATCAAGAAGCATGTCATGAAACCACTTCAATATTTCATTCAGATTGCTCATTTTTAAAAATGAACAATTTAGAATACTGTAAATTGTACTTAAAAATAAAATGCCTAATACTTACAAGAGATTTATTTTGAAAAAAAATGTTTAATACACCAAATGTTTTAAGATATCTTCAGAAAAAAGTGATTACATCACGCGATAGAGTTCCTAGTGTTTAATGATTTATGCGATAGACTATGTTCACTTGCTTCTTGGTCCTTCAATTACACACATATTTTCTGTGAACAAAGTGTCAGACTTTACAGTACCAAAACCTCAGGAAATTTACAGAAAGTGTAACCAGCCTAAAAAAGAGCACTCTGGTAAACCTGAAAATTCTCTTGGATCTGTTGATCTGGAATATGAAAACAAACCTCCAACCTATGAAATATTCTGCCTGAAGTCAGGGAAAGATTATCACAATTCTGAAATTAAGAGTACTTCATAATGTACATCATTGTACTATCTACCAAGGCTCTTTCATCATACTAGTTCAATAATGTTTCAGATTAGTTTCATTATCTATTTGTGAAAAACTGATTGAAAATCACTGAATAACCTACAAATACACTTTACCTTATGGCTTATTTTACTTGGTTTCACTGAGCGAAACGTATTTACCTGAGTCCCAGAAAGGAATCACAGCTAGCAATGATGAGATGAAAAACTAAGACACACAAATGTTAAATGAAAGTAATCCTTGTGCAGAATTAGAGTTTAATTGCACACAGTTATTCTACTCTCACCTGCAGGAGAGCAGGTGTTTAGGTCAACCACCTAACTTTGTACAAAACCTCATTTTTGATTGTTTGATACAAGTAAAATGCCAGTACCTAATGAGACAACCTTTCATTTAGAAAGCTACTGGAATAAAGCACTCTAATTAAGTTTGCTGCTAACTCTTCAAACATAGTTCATTTAAAAGACCACTATTTAGATGCTGAAGAGGAAGAACGATTCCATCTACTTAGTCCAATAATTTTGGACAAATACAGAACACACTTTCAGGCTCAGATTACACTGCTAAGCTAGCAAAGCTTATATATAAACCATAAGCACTCCAGAATCACCACTTAATTCTGGCACATTTCAAATAAAACTACTGTTGATTTTGTTCTCTGGAGTGAAAAAATTTCTCTTGTTCCAAAGTTTGCCTGAAATGTTCACAGAAGTGGCAGAAAAGGAGTTAAGCTGCAACTCCATCTCCATATAGCACTCGGCCACCACTGCAGGCATGGTCCCACTTCTCCCTGTCACCATGTTCTGGTCACCTGGGTACTAGTGCAGAAGCACTAGTGACTGGGGTGATCAGCAAGCTGGGGCATACAACTGATCCCTCTGAAAACTAACCCAGAGAAGAATACAGGTATCTCACACTGATCCTTTCCTTCATGCAATTCAGGACACCAGTACCAATGACAGAAGGTCAATGGGGACTCTGGGAGAGAGTACCACCTTTTCCCTATGTTAGCTTAAGGAGGTCATCACAGAAGCATCATAGATTGGCCTGGGTTGGAAGACACCTTAAAGATCATCCAGTTCTAACCTCCCTGCCAAGGAAGGGACACCTTCCAATAGACCAGGTTGCCCAGAGCCCCATCCAACCTGCCCTTGAGCACTTCCAGGGATGGGGCATCCAGCACTTCCGTGGTCAATCTGTTCCAGTGCTTCACCACCCTCACAATAACAAATCTCTTCCTAATATCTAATCTAAACCTACTCTCAGTTTGAAGCGATTTCCTCTTGTCCTGTCACTCCAGGTCCTTGTAAATAGTTTCTCTCCAATTTTCTTTTAGGCTCTCTTCAGGTACTGGAAGGTTGCAACTAGGTCACTCCAAAGCCTTCTCTTCTCCAGGCTGAACAATTCCAATTCTCTTAGCCCTTCCTTGTAGGAGAGGCGATCCATCCATCTAATCTTCTTGGTGTCCTTCCTCTGGACTCCTCCAAGAGGTCAATGCCCTTCCTGTTCTGGAGACCACAGAGCTGGATGCAGCACTCCAGGTGGGGTCACAGAAGTGCAACCTGTGAGAGAAGTGCTTCTGGACGGAGCTACACATTTTAGCTCAAAGTATATCAGGGTTAAACTTAAGGACTGAGCTTTTAAATAGCCGAAAATAAGTACTAAGGAAAATATTTCAGCACTATGGAAGACTGACAGCATGCAGACACATTGTCTAATGACAGTGCTCTAAAAGCTACTCATATCGTGCTGAACAAATTATGAGACTTCAGATAAAAACAAACTGCATACATCTTTAACTGAACCTTCTTGTCTCTGTGAAAAGTGTTTTTCTTTATAGAGGTATAGATGAATACAAAAGACTTCGACAAAAACATTTGTAGGGAAGATTAAAAGAAGACAATAGAAAAAGAATACCTTACACTTTTGTAACCAAATGGAGACACTAACCAAGACTTCTGAAATGTAGTACAAGTCCTTCGTTCAGGCTATGGCAACTAAGAAAAACTTGCTAATTTTTAAGGACCATATTTTGGATTTATTTTGGCAGAAGGAAGCATACAGAAAGATATCTTGCTCATCTGGATAACTAAGAGTTGGCAAAAAACTAAAATATCCTTTATATTCCCCTACATTATCTCCTCATTGAGGTGACATTATTTTTTCTTTCTTTTTTAAAGGAATAATTAGAATTAATCATGCTCTTACCAACAGCACCGCTATTTTCATGCACATGACTTCAAACATTGCACGCACTTCAGTGTTTCCTCCATTAAAACAAAATTACTGTCAATCTTAAAAATGTGAAGTGCATGTTCATGTAAAAATATTCCTAAAAACTTTGCTACCGGTGATAGCAAGTTTTTAGGAATTACTCTCTTTTAAGTCCACAATGGTTTGAATCAGGAAGAACCAGGTCCCTTCCCTTGGCTGGATGGGGCTTTGAGTAAGCTGGTCTAGCAGAAGTGTTCTTGCCCATGGTAGGGGGCTTGGAACTAGATGAACCTCAAGGTTCCTTTCAACCTAAACCATTCTACATTCCGTAAGACAGAAGTGGGAGGAAGGAAAGGAAGTCAAACTATGCTCCCTACCATAACTCAGCATTACTTTCTTTCAGTACCTTTCCAAAACGCCCCTATAGCTTAGGATCTTTCAAGTGCCTACAGCACTGCTAAAAATGGGGCTTTACAGAGTAATGGCCAAAGGCTCGTTTCAGCCTCTGGACCAAACCTCCCAAGGTTCTCTCTTTGTTCAGCAGGGAGAAGCTGGCTTTATTGAGGTGGGTTCAGAACACTAATCTAACATGCAGTACATTACCATTTTTTTCCCCTGACAGTGCAGCCCAAATGCTATAGGTCAATGCTATAACCATTCCCAAGGTTTCCCTTCACTGAAGCATTTCTTGGATATTTTGTGACATTGTGGAATCTGTACTTCCAGGTACACTAACTATGAATCATGAATACAGTATTCTGAAAAGTAATGAACACTGAACCTCATAGAAGTATGAGACTAAGCAACACTGGATGAAATTCCATGCAGTAAAGTAAAAGACCCAAAGAAAAACTGAAAGGTAGTAAAATAACTTAATTCTTGCTCAAGAGTTAAGGGAATATGATAAATGAAGCATTCCAGAAAAGTGGAAATCAAGAAGAAAGAAACTTTAGAAGCAGAAATCAGAATGTGAGTAAGCTGCAGAAAAAGGTTAAAAAAATTTTGATACAGAAAGACTGGAATGATTAGACAATCATATTGACAGAAAACCCAATTGATCTTTCTCTTTAGCAGCAAAATTTTTTCTTCCTCTGTACAGAAGGATTACAAGTAATGTGCTACCAAATCATCAGTCCAAACAAACAGCTAATTTCTGAAATGGGATCATACAAATGTCTGGAGAAAACAGATTAGAAATACTGAATTACAGTCTACGATGGGTTCACTGAATGTGGCCAAGAACTCAGTCTACTTTGAGCTTGCTGGTATTTTCAAATACCAAGATACAAATCCCCTAACAGCTGTTTACCAGTGTCTTCTAAGTGGCAAAAAAAATCCCTTTCCTAGTTCTTGGAATACTTTTAGAAAAACACAGCTTTTCTGAGTTAACAAACAGTGACACTTAATCTTCATTAAATAACTGTATTCCCAATGATCCTGTGTTTTGTTTTGCAAGCAGGCTATTGTCTCTTACAGGCTGTTCACTGAATGCAATTTAGAAGCAGATGAATAATATGCCAGATCTAAGTATTGCATAAAGAAGTCTGACATAAAAAAATACTAATTTCAGTCAACTCCTTGACCTCCTTTTCTCAATAGAGTACCCTCATAAATGCAGTCAGGTGTTTGGTTTCCCCATATATTCACGACCCTGTGAATGATATTATACATTTATAGGTCATATGTGAGACTATTACAGTTGGGTATTACCTCCATTACACAAACACACACAAACACAAAATCTAATGGAAAATGTTATCTTTGTATCCCAACACAACAAAAATAACAGTTCACTGCAATACACAGAGAGGAGTTCTCAATTCTCTTGGTCAATGGAAATCACAGATTTACCACAAGAGCCATGACTAGTCTTTGCTACAAGATGCCAACTTTTCTTTTGACACCCTCTACCATTTGAGCTCTAATTTGGCATTCAGAGTGGTCTGAGAGGAAATCATTCCTCCCACATTAAAGGAAAAGATCATTAGCTGCTGCTGGCAATCATTAGCTGAGCTGGAATATGAGAGAAAACAGAAAAAAATGGAATTTGACAGCTCTGTTGTCCCGCTAAATGTATTCACTATCTTATTGCCTTTCTTTTAGTCCACATGATACAGCCTCCTTCACGTCTCTTCACCAAATCAAAAATAAGCAGACTTTCTGAGAACTGATGCCTTTCAGCATTCATTCCCCTTTTCTACATACCACAGGTGCTGCATTATAGACCGCTTTGCCCATGCTAGGCTTGAACAACGTTTTCTCAAGCTGTTTGTCTAGCCCTTCCATGTACATGTGACAGACAACACAGGCAGAACCACCGCCCTAATTGTAATAATTATTCATTTTGTTCATAATCAAGAGCGGAGATAATTTTATATTGTTGACAAAATGAGTGAACGGACATGTATTTCCTGTCACTACCCTTGCAACTGTATTTTAGCCTTTGTGATCCATGGGTTCAAGACAAAGCAGAGGGGAGGAAAAAAGGAACCAGTCTATTTGACAGATGAATCACACACGTTAAATCGTTAAGAACTTACGATTTCGCAGTAACATCCACGAACTGCCCTGGGCGGAAGTGAGCAGCATACAATGGAGTACCTTCAAAAGAAGAGGAGAGATCATGTTCAGCTAAGTGCTGAAATCCTTAAATCACTATCCAGTCATTATCATACAGGGTAGATTACAGTCACAGCAAAGGAAAGCAAACTTATTCACATATTATTTATTCTTCTTTATGAATTTCACTGACTGAGAGAGATGCTTTGTATTTACTCCTTAAGCACATTTCTCAGGTCCTAGCCCAATTTCAGATGAATAGGAAGGACGGGCCAGGGCTTTACTGAGATACATTTTACTTCATACATTGAAAGAGACAACACCCAAAATGCCTAATTAGTTAAGATTCGTAATAAACAAGAAAACAGAACTTGCTGTACTTAGAAACGCTAGAACTTTACAAGGTGGAGGGTTTTTAAAAAAACAAAACAAAAAACAACCAAGCAACAAAGAAAACCCACTTACCATAAAAATGTGGTTAAGAATAATTAAATATAAAAATAAAAAGACAGTTTTGCAATGCTTCCTCTTTATTAAGAGACAGTGTTTCTAAAATAAAGACTGTGGCAGAAGTATAGCCCCATCCACTGTACCTATACACTAACCTTTAGCAGAAATAGTGCTACTGTAGTCGGTGATACCACTCACCTCACTGTAATTACACTAATTCCTTAAATACTTGCAGTATCTATTACTTTTAGATTTATTTTAAGTGATTTTTTTATCCAAGTGCAGTATTCTTTCATTAGCAGCTTAAAAAGCCCCACAACAAACCAGAATTAATAACTTTAATATTTGAACTTTACAGTTCATTATACACCTATATAGAGCTATATATCTGCATATTTCACAGTTTCCAGTCTGTTTTACATCCATTAAAAAAGTGAAATTCTAATTGCTCCATGTCCACACCCTTTCTCCTGCTTTTTCAAATCTGTGTGAATGCAAACTGAAATGATGTAAACCTCTTATAAGTCTCAAGCATAAAAATCCTCATATTATGTCATGTTATATTTATATAATCCATATACACCTGGAATAAGATGCCTGTGAACTGACACAAAATCATGCACATAAACGATGTTATGTACAAAATACATGCACTGCAAAACCAGTTTATTGAAAACCTGCAATTCTGCTTTATCTCAAGCTTTTCCTTCCATTTAGCAGTCCAAACTTCCTCTTTGTGTCAGATTTGGTTTTTATCCGTTACCACCGTGTCTTAAAAAGGTCTGACAAAAAGCTTCACTAATGGCAAGGAAATATACAATACATTAGAATTTCCAACCCAACATAATTTTTCAGAAAATATTTATAATTGTCAAAAGTGAAAGCAACCTAAATGCACTACCTAATAAAACCTTAGAAACTTAAAACTTTTTGTTAGATCTCCAAACTCCTAACACTGATTTTTAGTGAGAACATTTGTTACAAACGTGTTTTAGTGTGCTTTACTTTGCAGGCTGTCAGATAAAACACCCTAAATGACAGCCATCAGTCCTACTTCTGAATGTAGCAAGAAGAAAAAAACCTCAAAACGCTATTTTAGGCTCCTGAGAAACATTACCGCAAAATTCTGTGTCCCTCTCATAAGGATAAACAGAGAACTTCCCATAACTGTATTCATATTTATTCCCAGTCAGTGAATCAAGGTTACAGACTTACTTCTTAATTCAACATTCATATTAGTAAGTTTGGATTAAACTTACTTCCTAATCAATCGAAACATAGTACTCCGAAAAAAGGAAAAATCCTACTTCTCATCAACTAAAGAATAAATTTCTAATTTTGTCTAGAAAAAAATATGCCTCTACTTAATGACAAAGAACAATTCAGCAACTTCCATATGAAGCAAAAATTAAATACACGTCATAACTTTGTTTAGGTCTACAAGTGGCAGATGTTAAATGATTATGCATGTAATAATCAGTAGCTCAAAAAATTACCTGGCTTAATTATGGCATCATCTGTTACTTTAAATGTTGTAACTTTCTGCTTTCGTGGTACTCCAGCTTCTTTAAAAATCTGATGTGCAGACTCTGGTTTCTGTAACAAAAAGCAGCCGTAAAAAAGAAGTGATCTTAAAATACCCAAGGATCAACCTAGCACAGGAAACGATTACAGACTGTCAACACCACTCAGAGGAACAGATACATCACACTAAAATTTTATCTTGAGACTAGCATTTTATCTCTATATAAAATTTATTTAAAACTCCTGTCTCTGCATTTTATTTTCTGCCAACTAGTTACCCAGCAGCTACATCATATAAACAAGATACATATGAAGATTTCTAAGATGAGAATCATTTAGAATAGAAATAAAAGATACTGCTGTTTTTGTCATGGTTTATGAAGAGTTTTGTAATAATTTAAAAATATGTTCTCTTTTTCAGAGTTACTGATGACTTAGTTCCACAACACCATAAATACAATTTATTTGATTTCACTAAGAAAACAATAGAAACAAAGTCTCATCTTGCAGAAACTTCTCAAAAGGCTTAACTTTTCCACAGAACAGAATTTTGAGTCTCTGAACAAAAAAAAGAAAAATTAAGAACAAGTAGTTTATAATTCATGTATTTTTTAGATATACCAAGTACACTCAGTGTCAAATCACTGCTGACTTACTAAAGCAGGATCTTCTTTTCAGAGGAGTCTGACAAATTTAAAAGTCCTTAAAATTATTCTCAGCTGTTTCAAACAAGACAACTCACAGAACTGCTGACCACAAGATGAAACCAAGCAACAGAAACAATAATGCAGGAAAATTGTAGCCATTGGAAAAAAGGAATGCCATTTAATTTTTCTTCAAATGACTTCTCCTGGAAAGTAATTTAAGCATCTAACAATACTGTCACACTAGGATAGTCACATCTCTGAGGTTCACTTCTCAAAACTTCTGTGCAGTTCTCTCTCTCAAAATTATTTTCTGTGTTTTAAGATAAAATAATGTGGATAACTTAAAAAGGGCAACACAGTTTATCTGAACTTTGAATTTGCATGATGCCCTTTCTTTTGTTTTCAAAAATTTGCTAAAAAGTGTTAGAACAAGAGAGTAAGTTTTATGAAGAGTGAGGAAGCAAGATGATGAGGATCTCTTAGGAAAAAAAACCAGCAATTTTAAGTCTTAAAAATCTGTCTTTGTTTGAGGAGAAAGTGTGTATACAAAGTCTTTGAGAGTGAAAACTTTTTTCCAAGTGATTTGTTAACTTGAGTTCACACTACAAAACGCTTCAAATACCTTTAGAAAAAAAAATCACCTACATAAAAAATCTCCCCTAAGACCACGAATATTTGAGGCATCAATAGAGGACAACTGTATTAATATGTAGGACCATATGTGAGAATTAAAAATAAAGATATGGCCTTTCTACAAAGTGTCTGTATATCAATCCTTTACTTTCACTGTTATGTAAAACTGCTGCCTTAAGCTACAGCAAGGGGAGCTCTGTGCTCAACACGGGTGCCTGGAAAGAGCTACCACAGCTGAAGAAAAGCACAGTGAAGCCAAAGGGCAAAATTCACTTACAACTCAAGCCCTACTCAAGGCTGTAGCCTTGCACTGCTCTACTGCCACAACAGTCGAGTCACAGAGATGTATTTTTACAAACTAAACACTGCAGTCTTTACAAAGCCTTCCTAAAAAAGCAATACTGAGTGAATTCTCAGATGTTCTAAACTTTCAAAAACACCACACATATCTTCCAGTATTATGGGAAAATGATCGATATGCCCTCACTTATGGGAAGCATATAAAATATTTTTGACCAAAAAAATGTTAGAACACTGTCAGAACTGTACTTTTGAGAACATTCTGCATTAAAAAAAATCATGAAAAATCTCTTCACTTGTAACAGAGTGACATACATCAAGCTAAAAAGGAAACAAAAAATCTTGCTAAAAATGCAACATTCCTTATCAGCTTTTAAGCAATTTGACACTCAAAAGAAATACGGAGAATTCTTTTTCAGTAAAATTACTGAGCGAATCTTTTATTTGAACTCATTAAAAATCAGTAGCTGTGAGGAATCTGAGGAAGACAGATGTTCCTATCTTCCTATCAGAAGATAAATTGCTTATGCTAACACAATACAGTATCATTTACCCTTCTTTTAATTCTCACTTTAGACACTTCAAAGAGAAAAGAAACACATAAAAAGGATGATAAACATAGGAGAGCAATGATTCAAACTTGCAGCTAAACCACAGAAGTACATCATTTGTTAGTACCTTAACAAGTAAAATTGCTCAGAATCAGCATGCCAAATTCTTCCTTAGGAATTATCTAGTTTATACTACGACAATGATGATAACAACAACAATACAGAGCTCAGTATAATCATAATACACAGTTCAGTCTCAGGCCAGGTCCTCACCACTGATCTGTCTAAGGATATTTAATTCATTTTTTATTAAAATTAATCTAAGTTCAACCAAATTAATAGAAGCTAATTTGGAAAAAGTTATGCCCAGAGAGAGTCATTAACATAACTCACACTACTAAAAAGTCCTTGAGTTGACCTTTTAGGTAGTTCATCTTTGAAGAAATTTTCTTAATTCATAGGAGCTATTTAAATAGAAATTTTCTTTATACCTCCTTACTTCCCACACATTATTACTCTGACAACATACTGAATTACTGGTAACATCATCTGCATGCGATCAACTGTAAGGAGTCTAATGAGCAAAATACAACTTGAAAATTTTTGTTCACATGGTTCTTGCATGTCTTAGACCAAAAGAACAGGAAAATAAAAACAGAGCTGTCATTTTTCCAGGAAAAATGTCACACCTGGAAAGTGGAAATGGACTAAAGTGACAGGACAGACACCTGAAACTACCATGGTGAAACATGGCATAACTTCACTGAACACCAGAAAGGTACCTTAAAGTATCAGCCTGCTCAAAATCAGGAGAATATAGTGTAAGGTTTAGCAAATGAAAAAACTCCTTCTTCCCTCATCTCTGGTAAAGCAGAAACAAGTACACAGATTAATTCTGAGGCTCTGGGACAACTGTCAGTTTAAAAAAGTGAAATCTTTTGTCCTCAAAAAGCCACAATCAGCTGAGATAATCTGCTCAGTGGTCACGAGCTCTGGATTTTTTTTACTTGACTAAATCAGACAAATGAGTGTCAGGACATTGCAAGAAGTGAAAAATGGTATTTTACAGAAATAATGGATCACAGAAATTGTAATCCTTTGACAGAAAGCTTTGTTCCTACCTTGATCTATAACTCCTCAGAAATGACAGCTCTGCTAGACAACCTTAACCATTGAAGATATCTGGGAATTCCACACCAGGCAACTGGGGTGTCTAAATGACTGAGTGGTTTTGATACAGCTGTTGATGAGCTATAACCATAAGCTATCTTCTTGAAAATTTTTAAGCCTTAAACTTACTGTAAGTAAAACTATGGGCAAATTAAACAACGTCAACAGACACGTGGAAAATTACAGCTACACCAAATAAAACAGTGTGGAAGAATAAGCTAGAGAACAAAATCTTCTAAACAACCAAAGAAGCTGGGTAAGTTTATAACAGGCCATTGAAGTGTGTATCTCGCAGTTCTCATCTTAATTGCACCTCCACAGACATGGTGAACACATGTTTCTACACTGCTAAAAGTCCTTCAGACCCTTTCACCAGCATGGGACACTGCACATCAAAGCAACTTCCTAAACCTGGAGCTTTCCTAGAGAATCAAGAGGCAAAACTTTCAAAAATTCTTCTTGCTATTCTCTTAACCAAGAATTTACACCAGCATTAGGAAATAAGCAAGGTGAATGCGACAAAAGATCTGTTCCAAAGCACAGGTGTCTGTCAGTCTTTCAGGGAAGTCCAGCTATGCTACGTTCATATTGCAAGAGCAACAGAAACAAATTATTCTAAAAGTAACTCCCAAAGTGGTTCACTTACAGAAAAAGGTGATACGTTTTTGCCTCCAACAAGCAGCTGAGCTGTCTTTCCACCCGACTCTTCCTTTGAAATGTATTTTAAAACATGACAATCCTGCACCTTAAGAAAAGGAAAAATGTTTGAGTATAAGCAGACGTGTGTGCTTTAAAACCATAGCAAGAGATTAGCAAAACAAGTGAAATTACGTCGGTCTCTGATTTCATAACAGGAGATACAGTTTATAAGTAGTAAACCGTAGTGTTTGTTACATTTTTACTGTAGACATTCTTTTTCCAACCAACTAAAGACTGATTTTAGGAAAAAAATATTAGAATAGAATGCTAACTATTTTCATAAATGTCTAGAAATCAAATAATCTTTTATAGTCGTCTTTTGCATGCAATATCTGCAAAATCCCTTCTGTAAGCCTGCAAAGCATACAGTGAGAGCCCATATTTTAGACTCCTGCTCTTTTGCCCTGCAAACTTGATGCCCTTCACAGCACTGGTTCATGACACGGCAGCAACACGTGAGCAAAAGGCTTCATCGCAATAGTAGCTGACAGAGAATGCGAAGAAGCAGCTTCAGGGCTACAAAGGCTCAGAAGCCAAGGCGAAACTAATCCCAAAGCACCTGCAGATGGCAAAATTAAAAAAAGTTAAGTGGGGTGGTTAACCCCAGCTTTATGTTGCCTCACCTAGGTAACACTACTCACAGCTCTGCAACACCTGAATAGCTGAGGCAGAAGGCAGACTGCTTCGAGAAAGTTCGGGATATAAACAGAGTGTACTACCCATGACCACAAGAAGCCTTTCATTTCTTTCAGGATTTCCTACCCTGTACAAGTAATAACTTTCACTTTTGACTGAAATGTCTGGCTAATGATCTGAATACAGGACAGGAGATGAAATTCATTATGATTTATTTCACCTTAAGTAGTGTGACAGCATGTTTTTTTCCTGACTTGGTCCATATTGGCATCATTCCCAGTTTTACTGCAACAACACCAACTCTGATGGAATCTGTAGATCAAAACAGAACAGGAATGCAACTCCATACTTAATCTTTGAAAGAGTTCATTTCATAACTTGCAAAATCCCATTCATTAACTCTGATCTTTCCTAAGGAGGTGAAGGAGAGAAAACTTCCCTGACTCCCTGTGAGTAGGCTGGGAATAACCTGTTAATTGTTTTTAATACTACTAGCAGTGAAGTTCTATCTGTTCCAGTTCTGTTTGATAAAATATGCAACCACTTCCCCATTAAAACAAGTAATGCTTCAGACTCTCTTTAATTTTTTTAAAAATACAAACACCCATGTATTAGAGCCAAGCCAACTATCCAAAAGTTTACTGTATGAGGTTCCTCCCACCCAATCTTTGCAAACGTGTATAGCAAAGACAACCTGCCAAGTCTGCCACCCAAATGTGACCCTTTTGGAGGCTCAAAAAAAACCTTAATACTGTGTTCTAGACCATTAAACTTTGGAATCACAGAAGTGGGATGTATTATATACCACGCTTTTTCTTCAGAGTCCAGCAGTATTTACAAGAACGTTTTCAAGTTCATCTATTTTATATTCTATGGAGTCTTTTTTGACAAATTTTTACTTTCTTATCTTGTCATTGTACTGCAGTCAGATAGGCCAAGTGCTGATCTGGACTGAAAGCTAAGAGTTCTTAAAGGGTTCTTAACATCACATAGTATTTTGAATGCTCATTAGAGAACTGATGTATTACATTTACTTATTTACTAAATGTATTGAATGATCAACGTAAAAGCAAAAAGGAGAATACTTTACAAGGCACAGTCCTGATGTTACTGAACTCAACAACACAACAACAGCACGAGTTTGGTATTTCAAAAGAGATGCTTTCTCACCTGGTGTCCACTCATTCAGTGGCCATGGCTCATCTTTCAGAGGGCAGAGCTTGCTGGCTGTCTGAGCTTTGTATTCCTCCGCAGTTATCTTCTTCAGGAACTCCACATTCTCTTCAGAAAGATGTTCGTGCCACCACGTTGCACTATTAGTGTGCCTGACTAGCAAGCCCAGCTGCCCCCTTTCCAGTGGCGGAGAAAAAAGTTTTAAGTGTCTTATCAGTTCAAATAATGTCTTGTGACACGTACGTTTGCAATGTGATGGATAATACAAATCACTGCATGACAAAGCATACAGTCGTAAAGACCAAAATCACACTAACGAGGTAATCAACCACCATCACTCAAACTGGCCTCCAGTGACCAAAGCCACCTAATTATTTGTCATGCTCTCATCTATCTTTTGAAGTATTCTAAAGTGCACCAAAGTGGAGCAAGCAACAACAAAAAACCAAGCACTCCTTATGATAAAAAAAAATTAGATTCATCAATGAGAAGATAGCAGTGGGTGTCTTGCACTTTAGCAAGGCTTTCTAACACCATTTCCTGTGGCATCTTTCTATCCAAGTTGTGATGTTATGGCATGGACGGCTGGACTATCAGATGGGCAAAAACCTGGCTGGATCAGCTGACTAAAAGAGCCACGGCTAGTGGTTTGGACTCTATTAGAAGGCCAGTTACAAACACAGTTCCTCAAGTGTCTGTTCAGGGATTTGTCCTGTTTAGTATCTTTACCAGTGACCTGTAAGAGGGGATGAGTGCACCCTTCTCAAGTTTGAAGGGAGCAGTGGATGATGCTCAAGGATGTTCTTCTGCCAGTGGGAGGGACAAGCCAAAAAATAACCCAATGAAATTCATAAAGGAGAAACGCACAGTCCCATTCACAACTGGGATGGAATAACCTCTTGTGAGAGTACAGGCTGTGACTTCAGCAGAGCTGCTCCCCAGTCAGGCTGAGGACCTGGGAGGTCTTGGGGGCAAAAAGGAAAACAAGGAGCTAGCAGGCTAGCTACGAAGACTAACAGCAGCCTGGACTTTATGAACAGAAGCACAACCAGGAGATCAAGGCAAGCACTTATCCTTTCCTCAGCACTCCAAATAGAGCCCATCTGCAATAGTAAATCCAGTTTCAGGTCCCCAGTACAAAAGGGATGTTCACTAATGAGTGAATCCAGCTGCAGTATGCAAAAATACCAGGGGCTGGAGCACCTGCCCTACCAGAAGGAGTGAGGTAAGTGAGTTTGGTTTAGTCTGGAGAAGAAGTGGCCTAGGGTGGACCTGACAGCATCTTTCCAGTTCCTATGAGAAAGTTACTGACAAGACAGAATCGGGTGATATTTACTGAGGTGCATGCAGAAGAATGAGAGAAGGGGTACAAGCTGAAAATGGGGATTCTGATTTGACATATGGAAAAAACGTTTTGCCTGAAGACAATCAAACGCTGGTACAGTGGCTCAGAGACACTGCACAGCCTCTGTCCTTAGAGGCCCTCAAAGCCCAAAAAGACAAAGACAACACGGTCTAACCTCAGAGCTGGTTCTACACTCACCGCTAAACAGCTCAGTGTCCTGCCATAATTCCTGTGAGGCCTCAGAAAAGCCGGAATGCTCCCCAGCTCTCTGCACGGACAGCGAGGCGGGGAGTGTTCAGCAACACAAGGAGTGACCGCACGTGGCCTGGCCAGGGCGACCCAAAACACAGCAGGTCAGGTCGCTCCCTGTGCAGCAAAGATGCTCTGGATGCAAACACGCCTGTCCTGCCAGAACTACCACACAGGCTGGGGGGCATTTCTAAGGCTGGGGGGCATTTCTAAGGCTGGGGGGCCCCAGCAGTAACCCGGGGCACCACCATCCCTGCACTCGCAAAGCAGTGCCAGTAGGCTGCACAGAGAGACCTCTCCAAAGGGTGCCGACCCTTTGGGTCGCCAGCGAGGGCAAAGGGCCGCCGAGGAGCCTCTCACCTCCGGGCTCCGACAGGGGCCGAGCCACGCTCAGCCCCCGCTCTTCCCGCCGCCCCCGCCCCGCGCCCCACCTCCGCAGGAGCCCCTTCCCCTGCCAGCCCTGCCGCTACCTGTGGCCGGGAGCCCTCGGCGCCTCCGCGGCCGCCCAGAGCCGCCCGCCGAGCCGCGCCAGCCGCCCCCAGCCCGCCATGCCTGCACCGGGGCGGGGCCGACACCGCCTTCCGCGTCCGCCGCTGCAAACCCTCCGTGCGGCCCCGGGCAGAAGGTTCCGGCCCGCCCCGGCGGGGAGCTCGGGAGCTGACAAAAAAACCCTTCCCAAAACAGCCCAAAGTCGTAGTCGTGCGTCATTCTCTCTCCCGCGCGGCTGGCACCAGCGGCTTCCCAGGCGGGATGCAGCACCCGTGGGCCCATGGGGCTGTTCTGACCCGGAGGGAACACCTCGCCCAAGGGGGGTGATGGATGAAGCCAGGCACAAGTAGCCATAGGCACCTTTTACCCCCCCACCCAAACCCTTCCATCCCTGCCTTTGCTCCTGTGCCTGAATTCCTGCAGCGAGCCAGTGAAATCCAGCAAATAAGTGTCAAAAGGGGAAAGTGCCAGTGGCAGGTGGAGTTTTAGCACTGGCGAGCTCCACTTAGCCACACAAGGTTGCAGGAACACGGACTCAAAGTCTTCCTTCATTACACAAGTGTTGAGTAGATGCTGGCGGGGGGGAGGGGGGGGGGGGTTGTGTGTCTGGGAAGAAGCATCTCTGCTTTGTCAAATATCTATGAGGTATGGAGCTTAGCAGCTTCATGTCTTTTCTCCCGGGTAACAAGTAACAGGACAAGATGAAACAGGCCTCAGGTTGTGCCAGGGGAAGTTTAGGTTGGATATTGGGAAAAATTTCTTCATGCAAAGGGTGGTTAAGCCTGCCTAGAGAAGTGGTGGAATCACTATCCCTGGAAGTGTTCAGAAACCGTGTGGATGTGGCACTTAAGGACATGGTTTAGTGGTGGACCTGGCAGTGCTGGGTTAACTCGATGATGTTGGAGGTCTTTCCCAACCTTAATGATTGTATGACTCTGTGATTCTCGGTGGTCCGTGCGAATGGAGGCCACATAAGGGGGGAGGGCCACATTTATGGGAAGTATATTTCATATTGTAGCCAGTAAAAGTTCCTGGTAAAGTTAAAGTGGGTGGGTCAGGCAGCAGGTTTCTGGGCAGCCTGGCACAGCTATGGTACCTCTGACATTCTGGCTTGTAGGATAGTGAAGGGTTATGAACACAAGATTCCCTTTCAGTTTCAATAGAAGTCTCTTTTTTTTGAATACATGAGTGGTCAGCTGACATCTGTCATGGCTTCTCTTTACCCTCCCTCTTCTCCTCCACTGTGCTCTGTGTATGTGTGTGTGTGTGTTGCACTTGAGGCATGTGGCCAGCTAACCAGATGGTTACAGAGGCTGTATGCATCTCTCAGTGGTTAACTGAGCAGAATTTTGCTGTTCGCACCCAAAAATATGATCCAGAAAACTACCAGCAGCCTACGTAAACATCCCTTGTCCCATGTTTACTTCTTGTCCTTTTAAGACATAAACATATAGCGTGTTCAGAAATGCATCTCCCAAGTTCACAGTTCAATGGATGTTTCCTCTCTGAAGTTGTCATCTCCACTATCACAGTGATCACTGCATCTTTTCACTCTCTCCCTGGCATTAAGAACAGCAACAGGGAGGTTGCTAAATTTAATGCAGATGTGTTTTCTAATGGGATCCATCAGTAGCTTATGCTGTCGCTCTGTATCAGGGGGAAGAATGAACCTAAAAATGATAAAAGTGTTAACTCCCAATTTCTAAGCACTGTGACAACCTACAACAGTACTCACCCTACCAAAGTCCCCAGGAAGTAGCAAAATGCTATTTGCTTCCATTTTAAAGACATGGAACCAAGGCACACAGCAAGGTTAAGTGATTTGCCAAGCCGTGATGGATGTTCCCAGCCAGACAAGAGGGCTCCCTTGCTGCCCTCACCTGAAGCTAGCCTTGTTGCCACAGTATGATGCTTTTCTCATGTAGCATGCTGCACAGCTGAGGGGACACAGGATTTCCAGTAAGTTGGAAAGCAATACATCAGCAAATATACAGTTTGGAGAAATAAGTTTTAGTGCTGTACTTCTTCTTTTCTAACTGTATTTTCGTGATGCTAAAGAGGCATGAACTTTGTGTGTGTAGTGGGGAGTGGGTGTAGCAAGATGACTGCAACTCTGAATGCGATCAGATGGCAAACTGCCACTAATTAGTGGGACAAGAATTCAAGTGTCTCCTGAACACAGCAGTAAAAGGCTTTCTGCAAAGCAGTTGAAATGACTAGCACTTTTTTTGGAAGGAAAGAAGAGAAAGAAACATTACAAAATAACCTTCCCCAACAGTCTGCTGCCTTGGGTAGTCCTCAAAATGGCAGGAATGAGGAAATGGAAACACTTTTGGACTGGCAGCCTTCCCTGGAGAGAGGTCACCTAGGTTTCACCTGATCAGTTTGGAGGATCTCCCCAGCTCTGAAAGGAAATTGGAAAAAAGAGAAAAGAGGGGGTGGGCGTGCAGCCCATTGATGGTTTGCAGTGAATACTGCAAGAAAACATGCAGCTGGGCTGACTATTACCACTCATATAGCTCTAATTGCTGAAATTGTCTCTGGTATAGTTCAACTCTTCAGCCCAGGACTGCACATACAAGTAAGACCTAGGAGTGAAGGATGAATGGTGATATAAACTCTGTATTCCTTGTGGCAAAATGGCACTTCCCATAAATAAAGAAAAACCCCAACCTGAGAAGTGTAAACCTATCCTAGGAATCCTCCAGTTTATCCTTCCTGTTAAAAAAAAAAAAAAATAAAGTGAATGTAAATGTACCAATGCTTTGTGACTGAAATGTCCATGCTACTTAGGAGTAAAGGGAGTTTTGTCTCATAACTCTTTCATGCCAGAAAGACTAGACATAGGTTTAGATTTACATAGGAGTTGTGACTGAAAGATCCATAATCCCAGGTGAGGAATATCAATCTCAATAACAAGTTGAGTTCTTTCTGGGATTTAGCCATGACCTGTTTGAGCAGCCAGAGAGCCAGACTGAAGGAGGTAGCTCTGTTTAACTCACCAGCAAAGAACTTAGTGCAATACAATCATGAAGCTCACTTAAACCACACGCTGTTCTATCACAGTATTTGTTGTGTGGGTAAAACCGAGGGATACACTTGAGTATTGCAGAGCTGCAGGGCTTTTGTCACACAAATCTGCACAGAACTGGAGCCTTTCACCTGTGTGTTTGTTGGAATACCACCTCTGCAACCTGCAGCAAGAGTTGGCTTAGACCACTGTTCTCCACTGCCCGCTTTAGGTCTCTAACAGATCAAACTTGAAACCTTTTAGCTGTCACCAGTTATGTACTTTTGATATTTGGAGACTGTTTAAAAGATGTTTTAAAACAGTACTATTATTATAATTTTGTTTTTCTTTCATTCTTGCAGACTCTTTCATCAAATGCTATAGAACACTGTATTGCTTATCATGGTAAGAACTCCACACAGAGTTTTCCTTTGGGTAAGAAGCATTTGGCAGTGTATTAGTGCTTTTTAAAAATTGTTTTAGACTTAGTTTCCCCTAAAAACCAAAAATACAACTCAATGCAGTATCTGGCTCAAGAATAATAGATGTTAATGTATTTTGGGATAATAGGGTTTATGAATATCTTTGGGTTTTCTGTGACTTCTGGATTTTGAATTGGATTTGAGAGACAGTAAAAGGAAGGCAGGATTACAGTTGGCAGAGAAGGTATTTTAGATCATCGGTTATCTCAAAAGGATAAGATATAATTTATTTTAAAGGAGTTTTCAGAATTTAAAATGATCCACCAAAAGGCAGTAGAAGTTTAAATTTGCACTAAAAAATCTGCGGAGAAATTGATGGCAGTTCAGCCTAAAGGCAGAATCACCTTGCCAAAACCCTAAGTAGATAAAACAGGAGAAAAATACGCTGTTTCAGAGATATATTCACATATTTAAGGATATTACCCTGCAAAAAGTCCATACTATTTTATTGCACAGAGTAGCTTGGAGCAATGAAAATAACATTTAAAGCCTCATTAGAAAGCCTTTACCATATGGCGGGTTTTGTCTTCTGTGCATCCTACACCAACTCACCACACTATTACGTGACTGTTAGACATGCTGAGATCTGTATAGATTGAAGGAGATTTCCAATTGATTTTTCAATATCGTGGGGATGTCTCTCCAAATACCTGGAGGACTGCTACAGAATTGCTGACCTGTATTAACCACCGATAATGATTTGTTTTTAAGTAGACAACATTTATAATCAGGATTGTGTGAAGTAAACAGAAAGGTCTGCAGCAGCTGGGATTCCCTTGAGGCACTTATAGACACCAACTACATGCATGACAATGACTGATGGTTTATACAGCTCAGCATACAATAACCTGTTGATCTCTGCATTTTATCTGATGCTACAGTATAGAAGCAGCTTGTAACACCTCTGCTAATGAAGAGCTGTAACTGCCCAATTCTGTGTAACTGTAAACACTTTAAAAAATCAGTTTAGTCAAAGATCATATGTACCAGAAGAAAAATTTATCTGATTCCTGATTTTTCCTTGCTGAAAGTTTTAGTTTACTTTCATTCAGTCTGGCAAAGAATAAAGAAGAGGCTTAACCCTTCCGTGGCTGTACATTACATCCCTAAATGCACATCCGAGGGTAAAGTACTAGTCTTTACATGGTGAGAGCACCATCATGCCTCTGAGGATCTCAAATCACTTTTCAAATATTAAAGTCCCCCAGTATTATTGTGAGGTATTTATGAATACATGGCAGTGACCTTCATTTTACAGATGAGGAATCTGAGGTGCAGAATAGATAAACAACTTGGACAAGATTACCAAGTAATATACTGGAGGAGCAAAGAACACAGTCATTAAATTGTCAGTCATGTACTTTAATGGCTCAAAAATGGTCCTTCTGAGAATAGGGAAGGAAAGAAGAGAAAGAGGGAAATGGGAATAAGAAACTGGAGGTGTTGTAGACTAGAATTAAGATTTGTTGGCAGAGTGGTATATGAGATATAAAAGAAGATTGCAGTAGCTTGCAGATGAAATACATCCACAGAGGGAGGGAAAGCTCTCATATGAAGTGCCAGCCATTACGTGGAAGTGTGG